GTATTCTTTATATTTTCTTACAGTGTTATAGTATTTATACATTTATGTAAAGTTAGATAGTTTAATGTCAACATATTTTTAATGATGCTCTGTGGCTAGAAAATATAAAACACCATGATTACAGAAGAATAAGCATTGTGAAATGTATTGACACATGATGGCTATAAGTAGGCAATAACATATTAGCAATGATAACTTGATCACAAGAAGAAGCATTAAATACATTATCAAAGAAATGTATGATTTGAAAAGGAGGCATCCATTAGGTAGTTTAGATAGCCTTAGTGTTATACTGAAACCATCTACAATGTTAAAAATCCCAGAGAAAGGCCTTTAATATATTGGGTAGATCCTCAACATAGATCTGTGAATGACTACGACCTACTTATGGTATTCTGAGCTCCTGGTCAGACAACATCTAGAATGTTGTGCTTAGTTCTGGGCTCCACATTTTAGGATAGTTATTGTCCACCATCTGGAGTGTATCCAAGGAAGGCAATCAAGCTCAGGGAGCATCTATATAGCTCTCCACAAGACAATTGCTGTTTATGAAGAAGAAAAGATTCAAGGGGTGCAAGATAGCTATCTTCAAGTATTTTAGGCTTATCACAGGAAAAAAATTAAAATATTTAATTAATATTAATTAATCAACTAGCTAATTAATTAACATGCTTGAGGCCAGAGGCCAGAACAAGGAGCAATAGGTAAAAGCTTAGAAAGAAGCAAACAGCCATGATATGAAGAAGAAAAATAGAAACAAACAAACAAAAGACTTTTCCCAACTTCTAGAGATATCTAAAAGTGGAATTGGCTTCCTTGGGAGTTAGAGGGTTCTTTTTCAATGCAAGTCTTCAGAAAAAGGCTGGATGATAACATTTGGGATATAATATAAAGCAGAGGTGTCAAACATAGCCAGCTGATCAAACTTGATTAAAATGTAATTGAGAATTATTTGATAAAATAAATAAAAAATAACAGAACATAAATAGTGTTAATATATGGTTTTCTAAGTCAACATGTGGCCTTACCTGGATCCTTACTTCAGGTGTGCTCCCACATTTCTATTTCAGTTTGATACCATTTGATATAAGAGATATTCCTATTCAGTTACAAAATTACTAGATAGCTGCTAAGATCTTTTCAAACTCAGAGATTCTGCTACATGTTTACACAAAAATGGGTAGCAGTTACTGGTGATGTTGTACAACAGATTCATCTATCAAGTAAGAAGTTGCCCTAGAGCTTTTGAATGGTGTAGAAGATAGTTTGAGCACAAAGGAAGGAAATGGCAGTAAGAACAAGGTATGGAGAGACAGGCTTATAAAATTGAATGAGTACTGGGCCTTGAGTGAAGAAATTTAGCTTTGAATCATAGCATGGTTAGTAAGTCCCTTATTCTCTTTGAGTCTTAGTTTCTTCATCTGAGAAATGAAATAAGAACATTTGTAATACATATCACAGAATTTTTGCAAGAAAATCATAGTGCCAATAATAAAACACTGAGTACCTATTTAAAAATGTTATGTTTTTGTTTAAAAAAGATGTGTTTTTCTCTCATTTGTATTCACCATATTCCCAATTTTCCATCTGTGCATTATTTTTTCCATACATTTATATTTAAGCATGTTGCTGTCATATGCAGTGTTAGAGAAATTGTACTCAAGACTGCCACCTGATTAAACGTAATAATGTATAGAAAGTGTTGTATGAGCCATAGAGTATAATAGAAACAGGGAAAATTATTATTATATAGTATTGGGAAATGAAATGGAGAATTGAGTTATTTAAAAGGGAACAACCACGTTAAGGTCCACATTAAGAAGAAGATGGCAAAGGCAAGGAAGGAGTGGTATAAGTCCCTTGGGAACGCTTCATTAACAATTTGCCGTAGGGCATTTTTTAGAATATCAGTAGTGGAAGTAGGTTGTATATGGTGAGGAGGCAGCACATGACTTGTTCTCAACTCAAAACCCCACAGTTTTATGTACTGAAGAACTGCATGGTGAAATAAAAATACAACTGGGAGTAGAATCAGGAGATCTGGATTCTAACTGATCCAACTGAATGATCTTTTAACCTCAATGGGCATCAATATTCTCATGGCAAAAATCATGGGGTTGATCACTAAGGTCCCTCACTACTCTAAATTTCCAATATTTTGAGAGAAAATAAGTGACTTCTACTCCCAATTTAGCAGGAACACTTGTGTTAATAGGTATGCTGACATAAAGCAAAAACAGTTTTGTTTCAAAACTAAGGCAATACTAGGCACTAACTAGACTTCCTATCAGTATCATGGTTATACATACTTCTTACTTGAGCAAAAAAAGGCCTACATGCTGATTTCAGTAGAACAGAATCAATAGCAGCTTTGTAACAATTCACTCAAAAATTTAATCATGGCAAAAAATCATGGGGTTGATCTCTTTAAGTAAAAAACAAACAAAACAAACAAAAGTGATTACTATTTGGAAGGCACTATGCTAGGAGCTGGGGATACAGAGACAAAAACTAACAGTCTGCCCTCAAGGACCTTATGATAAATTGTAGGGGCAGGTGGTAGCCAGTATGTCAATATGTGGTAGAGTGAGATGGGGGCAAATGAGTCATCAGGCAAAGCCTTCTAGGAAAAATGAATGAAAGAGAAGAGAACACTTTTAGCTGTGGGAATGAAGGAAAGGTCTGCAGTCAGAAGAGGCTCCCAACCTAAGCCTAGAAGGGAAAAAAATCATTATTTTATATACCAGTGAGAGAGCATATTTCAGGCAGGAATGACCTATGTAAAATGCAGGAAGTAAGAAATAGTAGAATCACTTTGGAGATGAGGCAGTAGTTCATGCGGAAAGAATGGTATAGCTGGGGAGTGAGGAGAGAAAAGGAATATGAAATGAGGCTGGAAATATACTTAGGAGCTAAAGAAAATATGGGTAATTTTTTAAGGTAGGAAGAACCTTGCCTTTTCCATTTGCGAGGGGAGATTTGCGAGATGCAAGATTGAAGGAGTTTGAACAAAGTAATGCATGAGAAAGTCCTCATTGTAACTAGATTCCCAAGAAATTTGCTGATTAGGTTGGAGTCTTGATTATTACCTAATATCAGGATGCACCTCTGGTTACAATCAAACAGATTTTTAATCTTTTAACCTGGAAATTTGATGAGTTAGAGACAATCTACTTTTGAGACTGTCCTTTCCCTCTAATCATGGTGAATATTTGATACCTAAGCTTGAAGCCAACTTCCCTGAAATTTGGGATGGGCTCTTTTCATGACAGTATAGTACATTTTTTCCACCTTAATGAAGGTGAAATAACAAATGTAAAATGTCTCAGTTTGAAGCCTGTGGCCCATTGGAAAAAAAAAGAATTGAAATAAGATCTGAAATAACATCTGTAATTTCTCTGATATAAGAGACTCTGAGGTGAGGAAACTCCCTCTTCTAATATAGATTGGCGTGTTTTCTGTAGTTTCTAACCTTAGAAATCAGTCTAGAACACTGAGGTAAGTGGCTTGCACAGGGTCATGTAGCAGGTATGTGAAGCCAAGTTTTCTTGGCTTTGAGCCTGGTCCTCTAGTCACCATGCCAAAAGTCACTAATATAAATAATTATCATTAATATTAATGAATATTAATAGAAAATATAATTTTAGTGTAAAACTTTTCAAAACTAATGAGATATTTTCAAAACATGCTCATTTTGAGACCTAATGTAATATTTCCGTATTTTTTTTATTTCTTTAAAAAATGAATTTCAAATTAAGTTTGACTAATTCAGAGGCTTGCTTTTTTTTCTTTTCACTTAAATAGACCAGTTTTTGTTTTCTATTCTGTGATTTGGTCCATTGAATTGCCAGGAATGGGCTTTTGGAACTTAGGAAGTTTGCCAAGTTAGCTCTTATTATATGACCTGCTGAGCCACATAGTGTCTAGAAGTTAGATCACAAGTGGCAATATTGGCTGTATTTCTCTCATAGTCAGAAGGTTTATTATGCATTCACAAATATGTTGAACTGCAAACATTTGGGCATTTTTAACCTTTAAAATAGGAAAAGTGCCTTTCAAAATAAATGCAATAATTAAGTCCACATTAAGGGTATGTCAATATTACATTTTCTGCCTCTCCAAGAGCACAGTATTTTCACTGTTTGGAGATGAGGCCAATTGTATTCATTGTTTACAATATACTCATTCAGCAGGGGATGAGGCTTCCTAACCAGCTCCAACAAAGTGCTCAATTTAAAATTAAAGCATTTTGTGGAGCCAGGGTAAAATGAGGTAAGTTAGTGATAGCTAAAATCAGTGGATGACAGGAACTTTGCAGAACAAATGGGCTGCATTCTCTCAACTGATCTGAATTAAATCAGTTCCAGAAGAAAAAAGAAAGACTTCTACTAATAGGCATATAATGCATTTCTGAAAGAAAATTGACGTAATTATAATAGTGTGCTAATGGGACACGCAACATTCTTCTGATGATGATGATGGTGACCATGATGCCATTATTTGTAATATTCACAATGTCACTATAGGATCTAGGGATATTTTCCATTAAGAGGTTACTTTTATCTTAAACCCCTTTAAATTGTGTGACTTAAAAAAGATATTAATAACAAAAAGTCTACATAGTACATATCAAAAGAAAATAATAAGGATGATATTTTCTGCCCCAAGACTGTTTGTTGACACCATTTGTAGAACAGAAACAAAAAAACAATGTACACTATGCATTTATCAAAAAATAAGATATTCTTATTTATCCTTCTTTGTTAAATATGAAAATGAAGATAACATGTTTTGGAAAAATCTGTGAATAACTCCTCATTACCTTATAAAATTATACATTAGTTATTAAAACAGTTAAGGAAAAGATTTTTTTCTTTACCTGGAATCATGCTGATCAGTAGTTATCAATTTATATAATTAAAGACTGTATTCTTACTGGAACTCATTCATAGCTTCATAGCAAGTATTTTTGAACATATTTCTTCCTCAGGAAACAAAAGAAATTGGAGGCAAAGTAGTTGTAAAAACTGGTTTATTTCTTAAAAATAAATACAAAAATATAAATATAAAACATTAGCAGATAGAATTTGATGAGATGAAGTTGCACAAAGTTTTGTATACCAGCTGCATATCACACTTACTAACACCAAATGTACATTTTTTGGAATTGTAATGTACAGAACAGGAGATATATAGATATATGTATGTTTATTATATATATTTTTTAAAAAAATTCTTCACCTCCTTAAAAGCTGCACTTGCAAGGGCAGGACAGGTACCTAACAGAAGCGGCTTGTATATGAAGTTGCTTAAGGGAGTCTTATCCTGTTCGAGTTTCTGAAAGTATCTTTTATTTACTAAAATGGACAACACTGAATTTCCATAGCTTTGGCTCTTGGAAGTGATTAAATAAAATGCTGTATATACTCCATGTGACATCCTACAAGAAAGAATTAATGAAATTAATGAACAAATTAAAAAGGGAAAGGGAAAAAAATATTGTGCTGAGTGGCAGGAAAATTCTCCTGAATGTCAAATATTATAAAGGAGCAGAGGTGGTGTCTGGAAAATGATTTCTTCTTGAGAGAACAGAAAATGTATCCTAGGTTAAGAGTCTTTGTCACTTTCCCCACCACCATACATTTCAGCTAACTTATTAAACCGAGGGCCCCATTCTCGGAGGTAATCATAGTTTTGATCTCCGTCAGTAGTACCTGATTCTAGTGAACTCAAAGATTCGGCTACAGAATCATTTCCTTCATAGGCATAGGTTGCGAGTGAATCATATGGTGGAGCAGTGGGATCAATATCATGCTCTTTTAGCCTCTCATTAATGAAATCTCGGACATCTGTGTTATCTGGAGCTGAAGGAGTCCTCCGTGGGATAAACAACGTTTCTGGAATAATGTCTCGTCGCAGCTTCTTGTCTTCTATAACCGCAGGATTCCTCAGAGTACCAATATCAAATGCCTGGGTGTCTTCCTCTCCACCTCCTTCGTCATTATAACTCACAATGTTGTCTCTGATGTCCTCTTTAGATAAGATGAGAGGCTCTTTCTTTCGCTGTCTTTTCAGAGCTGCAAATAGCACAACTATAACTGGGGAAAATGAGAGGGAAGTAAAGAACAGATCTTGCTTACTGAGAGTGCATAAGAGTTGACTGGAAACATATCAAGCCTTAGGTTTCCTTACTTCTTCCTAGTCAATTGGCGAATTTAAGATTAATTTTGTCCTTTAGCTAGACTTTGTGGGGTTTCCCCCCATTAATACATATTTAAAGAAATTGATCTATAGTAAAGTAAAATGACAGTGATTTAAAGGAAAATAAATATTCCTCAATTTTGAATTATGTTTCCACTATTTTCCCTAGGAACACCCAGAAAATCTTACTTGTCTCACTGCTTCATGTAAAAATCATCATTGGTCTTTTCTCTTCATCATAACATTAATAATAATGAAAACACCAATAATAAGGATAATCATCATGACCTTTGGATAAATTATTGATATAAAGTTACATATATATCAAAAAAAATAGACAATTTGTTTTCTAAATTTAAAATAAAATATCTTTATCTTAGGCAGTTTAGAAAGCCATATTTGGCTAAACTGTTTTTTTTATTAGCGATCTAAAATGATATTACGTACAGTTTACTAATAATGACCATACACAAAGGTTTCACTGCTAGAGGGGATTGAAATCCTCCATGGAGGGATTTATTAATTAATTGAAGATCAATGGTGATTATATAATATCTTTTAAAATAAAGCTCTCACATATGTGTATACTTATATATATGGACACACAACAATGGATTATATCTATATACATGCAACATATATGTATATGTATGTGTTTTTAAATATACCTATGATTTAATCAGTATAGAGAGCTCTTAGTGAGGAAATTCTTAACCACTACACTATCACATAGTTGTTTTATTATTTTTGAAGGGTTACATTAAGTATAAAAGTCATCTATTTTCCTTCTATTACTTAAAATAATCCAGTGCTCAAAAATTACTAGCATATGCAGTATATTTTCAAAATGTTAATATCAGCTTTTTGGTTTCTTTCAAGGGGTGTGTGTGTGTGTGTGTGTGTGTGTTTTAATCTTGCCCTTCCTCATACACCAGAAAGGTATGTAGAATACACAAGCTACACATTTAAATTTAGGATGTTCTAATTTCCTAAGCTATAGAAAACCTAAATTAGATTTGATAACTGCATTCTTTTCATAGGTTATGTCATACTGTGCCTGGGATGAGTAATTTACCCTTTAGCTATTTAGACAGTGAACTACGGTACTTGTACTATGATAAAAGAGTCAAAACAGCAAGCTTTGTGCTATAGCTTAGACTATATACAATTAAAACTAAATATAGAATTTTAAAATAAATAGTTTACATGAAAATAGCATAATTTCTTTTGGGAGAACATGGAAGTACCTAACCTTATCTCATGAACAAAACAAAACAAAATGAAACAAAGCAAAATAATAAACTTTGAACTTTCCCTACAGTCACAATAGTGCTACTATTAAGTAATAGAAATAATGCTTTCAAATTTGTGATCATGTAGACAGGCTTTATCTCTGCATTTATCTCTCTCTTTCTCTCTCTCTCTCTCTCTCTCTCTCTCTCTCTCTCTCTCTCTCTCTCCATATATATATATATATATATATATATATATATATATATATATACATACATACATACATATATATATGGCTATCTATTAAGTGATATACAGTGTTCTTTCTAAGTGCATTCATTTCTACATGCATATTTCTCTCACATATACAAATTTGGCAGTGTGGTGCATACAAAAGAGCTGATCTTGGCTCCAGAAATACTTTGATGTGTCCCACCTGTGATACATATAGATTGACTCTGGCTGAGTCAATAAAACTTTCAGTGTCCTAAACTACTCTTTAAAACTATAAATTTGGCCCCCCAAAAAAGATGCTTACTTCTTTTATTAGAGCAAATTTCCTCACCTGGGAGTTATTTATAAGAATGAAGTCACAGGTTTGATCCCTATCCCTATGCCTATTCACAGAGATTAAAATACATTACCAAAGATATGCATAGCTGGAAAAGGATATAAGTTTGATATAGAGCAAGTAAAGAATTAAAAATGGTCAGCTCAAGTGTTCCATCAGTAGCCACAAAATTTTAATAGAAGCAGTGATTTTCCTAAAGCACAGGTGTGACCATGCCACACCACTCATCAATAAACTCTAATGGCCATCTATTAACATTAAGATCAAATATGAACTCTTCTATCTGACATTTAAAGACCTTCAAAATCTGGCTGCCACCTGCCTTTCCTTGCTTACAACAAATTATTCTCCTTAACACATTGTATGTTACAGGCACCCGGCCTCTGGTGATTGTTTATCTATGCTACTTCACTCCCCTTCTCCATACTTTTGCACAGACCACTCTCTATGCAGGAATGTGCTCCCTCCTCACCTCCACCCCTGAGAATAGCTACTTTTTTTTCTTTCCAAAACTCAGTTCCAGTGCCAGTTTCTACAAAAAGTTTTCCTGATGGCCCCAGGTCAAAAAACCTCATATTTATTTGATATTTTTATTTAGGTACATGCTTCCTCCAATAGAATTAAATTCTGTGTTGGAAATGACTGTTTTTGTATTCTATCTTCCTAATTCAATACCAGGCACTTGGTGGGAACTTTGTAAGTGCTGAAGCAGAGAAAGGCATCCAGCATGTTGAATAGATCCTATATAAAGTATGCATGGAAAGATAAGGACAAGAGTTGAACAGTTGAAAAAATGTGTGAGTTGTGATCTATACAGTCTATACTGATGAGATTGCAATTGCAATGGAAGTATACATACACATACACATACACACAGACTTTATGCATCTAACATTTTTAAATTTCTGCACTGATGCCTTATTATGGCATAGAGACCTACCTGAGTTCTTGTGTAACAAGAGCCCTGGATGAGCCTACCAAAATGTATTGGTCTTGAGTAATTGTATGATAATGGACTTCATGTTTATTATCTGAGGATCAGCCCAGATAATGGGAAAAGCACCCACATCACCATAGGGTAATGAATACTTTAGCCATAGAACAGTAACTTCTGAAGATCACCTATTAAATTCAGATAAGGCCAGTGCTCTATGTTGGTAGAGGTAACATCTATTGCAACTCAAAAGCTTTCCAGTTTATAGGAGGATACCAGAACATACAGTCCACAAGAACCCAGATTCTTTATGAAATGATGACATATCAAAGAACCTTGTAGATCTTAAATATACAAAGCATACTTATTCATGCATATATATATATATATGTGCTCTTTTATATAATTAAGTGTAGCTATTTGAATTCTTAGGTATTGCATTGAATTATATTGTATAAAGACAGAGGAACATAAGCTCTTTCAGTATATAGTGTGTGAAGGAGATGAGAAGGGAATAAGTACCTCTATAGATCATATTATGTGTCAGGCACTATACAAAGAGCTTTACAATTATTATCTCACTTGTCCTGTGGAGTGGGTGTTGTTACTATCCCCATTTCACTGATGAGAAGACTAAGGGAAATAGAAGTTATGACTTGCTCAGAGTCACATTGCTATTAAGTGTCTGAGGACAGATAAGACCTCAGATCTTCCTAACTCTACCCTCTGAGCCATCTATGTCCCTCACTATTTATCTCTCATTATTTATGCTGCACACACATATAGGATATCTAAATATATGTACATGTGTGCATATGTATTTGTTTCTAAATCTAGATCTATATTTGTGTAGGCATGCATGAGGTCTGAATATAGATAGACTGTATTTGTCTAGTTGGTTAGCTGTGTAGATTAAAATTTAACTGTTAATGGTTTAGTGTCAAATTGAGAGGAAGTCTACACTGTAATGCCTCAGTTCCATATTTTACTCTCCATTGTTTATTACTTTTATCAATGATTTGGACAAAGGTGTTCTCATCAAATCTTTAGATGACAGAAATCAGATAGTATAGCTAATGTATCAGATTATAGAGATGGGATTCATGAGTATCTTGCCAGGTTAGAGTATTGGGCTTAATTAAATAAGATGAAATATAATACGGATATTATAATGTCTATGATAACTGGCTGTGGAACTAGATCTAGACTGATATAGATAGATGAATAAATATGCAAATATATAGGTAACGATAAGGTTTGAAGACATATGTGTATATAGACTATGTATAGACAGACAGAGAGAGAGAGAGAGAGAGAGAGAGAGAGAGAGAGAGAAGAGAGGGGTGTTGGGCCATCTAAGATACCAGAGAAGTCTTGGGGAGAGAGAAAGGGAGAAATGTATATGTATTGTGTATGCATATTATATTTGTTTTAATTGACAATTTGTATGTGATGTATAAATTAGATCAGTATATAAGATATACAAATTATCCATATAAATTAATACACAATCCATATATATATATATATATCCTTGCATATGTGTGTATATATATATATATATATGTGTATGTGTGTATCTGTGTATGTGCATATGCATATGTATATACACGAAGATATACACATATAAACATTCACATATCAGCTGCAAGGTACATAGAAAGACCAACACCTACATAATCCAAAGGAGCATAGACAAAAGACAAATAAAGAATGTCCATAAACAAAAAGCCAGAAGACATGGGAGCCAGGGATCAGTCAGTGCTCTGAGGCACGAGAAACAAGCTTGGCCATTAGACCTAGAATATGGCTATTAGTCTAAATTAGAACACATGTACAAAACAACAGATCAAAAATAAGAAGACAAGAGAGAGCACAGGAACACAGTGATGGGGATTACTGAGTTTGATACCCTCAGGCGCTATTCTTCATTCATTAACCTGCATAGTCTCTGGTTCTTGTGAATTTGGTAGACTCAATGAGCCTTATCTGTTACTTAGGGCCTGCAGGAATATAGGGGTGTGTGTGTGTGTGTGTGTGTGTGTGTGTGTGTGTGTGTGTGTGTGTGTGTATTGGGGGGGTCACAGATTTTGTTTGTTTGTTTGTTTGTTGTTTGATGTAGGCTTGTAATTTCAACACTTTGACAAACTCCCCATATGGAAATTCTTTCCACCAATGTAAGTTCATATCTTCCAGTCTTTGAAGTTGCCTAGAAGACTTATCCTCAGTCACTAAGATAGTATGTATCCTGATTCCAAGGTCAAGTCTCCATACATTGCATCATGCTTCATGAGGATCAAAGGAGTAGTATGGGTATTTGTATGTGTATGTGATTGAGTGTGTGTGTGTGTGTGTGTTGTATGTAAGTTCAGAGAAATACTTTCCAAAACCTCAATTTTCTTGCAAATGAAGACTGATAGGTTTTCATAAAACATTTTTTAATTCAACATTTCTGAATTCTTGAAGAATACACTGTTCTTTTTCATCTTGCAAACCAACAACCACCAACAGAATATTCTTTCAAAATTATCTTTCAGATACAGGCGACAATATAACATGGCTGACGTTCCTAGGCAAAGAAATGAAATTTACCGCATCTTTTTTTTATAAATACTTAACTCTGCCAAGTTTGTCCACCTTGGAGGATGTATATGACTTGATTGAGTGTGCCAATTATGTCTGGGAAATAGGTTATTGAATGAAAAGATGGAAAAGATCTATGACTTTATCGTTCTTAGGTAAACTGAAATTATACTTTTTTTATGCTCATGCTATGAAGTGTTTTGTTTTGTTTTGTTTTTCCATATCCCAAGTTAAGATTGAGATAAGGTTTGTCACTGAATCACAATCAATTCCACAAACAGCAACCCAGCAACCCATCATATTGATGATGGTAATTGTATCTATAATAGATGAAAAATTCACATTTTAATGCAAATTTTCCAAGTTCTAACTTGGTATTCTTAGCTTATGTGTTTATACAAAAAAGGGGGGGGCATGAGGAATCAAAAGAGAACATTTATTGAGGTCTAACCAACGTATTTTACCTTTTCTTGGTATTACAGGTGCACAAAAAGCCTAAGATATAATATAGAAAGGTACCTTAGAGATCCAACAGTTGCAAGATCATAGTGTTAGAACGAAAAGGACATAGAAGACCATTAAGTCCAACTTTCCCATTTTATAGCTAAGAAAACTGAAGGCCAAGTTTTTTTAGGCATCTTGCCAAAGGTGACAAGAGTGGTGAGAAATATTGAGAGAGCTTGAAATTAAGTTTATTCTGACTCCAAATAATATAAAACGGCAATAGCAACAATAGCTAGTATTAATATAACCCTTTGAGGTTTGAAAAAGGCTTTATGCTCACTATGTTGTTTGATCCTCACAAGAATTTTGGAGCTACTGTTCTTTCTATAAAACATTGCTGCCCCTGTGCATGTCTTTTAAGATATTTGAGGTAAAGTAGACCCATTCGCAAATAAAAGTTACCCCTCAATAATTATACAAATGCATGATATAGAAAACAAAACAAAATGAAACAACTATCTTTATCTGTAGTAACAAAACTTACCTAGCAAAATGATGATGCAGAGGAGAATGGCAATAAGAGCCCCTGTGCTTAAGCCAGCAGGAAGGAGCAAAGCCTCAGCACTGCAAGACTGCATGTTTCCTTGGCTGTCACAAGCACAAACTCGAATAGTGAGCGTACCAGTACTGCTTTGGATTGGGTAATCATTGTCAGAGATCACGACAGGCAGGAGATAGCTACTGATTTCATGCCGACTGAATCCATTTTTTCTCGTTAAAATTCTAGCAGTGTTATCTAAAATGAATTAAAACAGAATTATTTATTAGTTTGAGGACTTTAAGTATCACTTGTCCTGAAAACTCAATTGTGGTTTAAGATAAATTGGATTCAATGACCAATTTACGATCCTGAAAGAACAAAGCTGTTACATGTTCTAATACCAAGTACTGATTTTTGGTGGGCAAATAGAAAGTGAAAAAGTAAAAAACAACCACCACCAAATTCCCCCAAATATTTTTTTTCTGGGCATCTAAAAACTGTGTACAACATTTAATTACTTGAATTTTCCACTAATCTTCATGTATACATGAAAGCATAAAAACATATCCTTTAATACCAATAATTCAGGGGCAGATTCTAAACACTGTTCTAGAAGCATTTTTCAATAATCAACAGCAATAAAACAATACAATGGTCCTTAATGTTATAGAAGCTTTCTGTGGCACCTAACCACTTAGCCATATAAGACTTACGGATGCTAGAGAGACATAAGGCAATCTAAAATGAAGGTCCTTAATTATTTTTGTAATGGATACCTCCGACAATCTACCAGTGAACTGCTTCTCAGAACAATAATTGTAAATGCATAGAATAAAAATACAGCATTATGAAGGAAACTAATTATATTGAAATGTATTTTTCCCATCCTACTTCACAAACCCCAGTCTGTGAGAATTGCTGATAAGAATCCCTAATAACAGGTCTACAGTAACATTTGCATTAACTCTTAGGTCCAGTCCATTTTAGGCCATAGTTATTTGTATTATTTATTTCTTCTGAAATAAAGAAACCAAGAAGAATGTTTCAATTCTGTTGTCCCATAGGTTGGAGGCAACACATTGGAAACAAACCACCCAATCTGAGTGGACAACAGAGCTGCTCACATAACTTTCCAGGAGTTTAAAACCATACATTATTGAGCATTATTTAAAATCACTAGTAAGCATAACACTAATAGTTGTGTTGCTATTCTCGTCATACAAGAGAGGAAAAGACATATTTTGTTAAACTTGTTTTAATTAATGTCAGCCAGTCTACCAAAACAAAGTGAAGCCAAGATTTGAAATAGTTCTTTAAATAATTCAGGTGAATGAAAGAACAATTTTGGGTGAAATTGTTGTAAGAATTACCTTTTATCCAGATGGTTGAGACCTAATCATGTTAAGTCAGAGACAGTGAATTTATTATTTATTACAAAAAAAAAAAGAACATTAATTCCTGGATCACTAGTCTAGTTGTATATAAATGGCTATTAAGGTTGTTCGTTAGGTTAGAGAAAAATAGGTCACTCTTACTTTTCTATTTAGAAAATATTTTTTATTAAGTGGTTTCTATTTTCATTGAACTAATTTATTATCTACACCAAATAACGGCTTATTTTGATGTAATAAGTTTTTAATCTGTGTATTCTTATTGCTTTTAGTCCTCTATGCCCAACAGATTGCAGAAGATGAAGTGACAAACCATGACTGAGTGGTACCTTACTTGAGATGTTGGCATTCTCAACTAATAGAATGATTTTATTTTCTGTTCTTTAGCAAACTGCTAACACAATTGAGAAAATGGAATTGGACTTGGGAGTTCTAGGGAAGGATAATTATTGAGCACTAAGAAGAAAAATAAACCCTAAAAATTTTAAAGAGATTAAATTTCTTTGAGTCTTCATGTACACATTAAATATTATGTTGGGATCTTCAAGTCATGAAATGAGATTATCAAAATTGAAACCTCTCCATAATAATATTGATGGAATCTCCATATATTTTTGAGGATAAGAAATATGATAACCAAATATATCATGGAATAGATACTTCACATATAAACTTCAGAGGAATCTCAAGCAAAGTTAAGAATAATATATGCTTTTTAAAATGGTTTTATAAGTACCTTGATTATTTTTATGTGGTTACAAATAGTAACATAATTAAAATGAAAATTTCTTCTGCAACTTGGCAATGTCTTCAAATTAATTAAGAGACATGTCAAATTCTATTCTGATTCAAGTTAGTGTCAAAATAAGCAGCTTAAAAATCATCATGAAATGAATTCAATGCTAATATGTATAGCTCATTTCTGTTTCCTGAAAGGCAGGAAAGAATATGACTACCAAGTAACTAGTGCCCCAATGGGAGGGAATCATTCAAAGATGAATAGATAAATTGGTTAAGAACTTTAGAAGTATCTGCAAGAAATCCAGTAATGCAATTATATTTGGGATATTTAGATTATCTACATTACCTTGGAAATCCTTTGACTAAAAATGAAGAGTAAGTTTAACAAAGGCAAAATGTTCCATTATTTGTTTACTAATATGTGCCTATTACTCATTTTAATTTTGTAATGAACTATGCTGAGTAGTATATTTTAGCTGGAAAAATAGTTGAGTTATCAAATAAATTCTGCTTCATCTATTCTAAATATCTCAATGGTTCTGCGATTTATAATATGGGCAAGATGGTAATTTCTATGTTGTCTACACTTCTTGAGAGGGGCAGTTTTTACAAATAAACAAATTCAAATACATTTCAGGAACTTTGGAAATTCTTAGAACATTTGTGCAGTGCATAACTAGGCCAGAGTTTCACTATATATGAAGGACTTTCAGAGTTCTTCATCACTCTTTTGGCCTTACTCTGGATTCCTTTCAAAATATTAGTATTTCCTAAAATATATTATCCTAAATTGAAACAAATGTCTCAATAGGGTGTAATACAGCAGGGATCACATTTTCTTACTATTAGGAAGGAAAGATGGATAGATAGATATAGATAGATACATACCCCTCCTTCATGCTCCCAAAGCATTATGTATCTGCCCTATGAATTGTCCATATTCATGTCTTGCAATGTAATTATTATGTATTCCTTATCTTGCCTCCTAACTTATAAGCTTCATGAAGAAAGAATTAATCACCCTTATTAACTACTTTAATTGACCAAGCTTTGTTAGCATTTCTCACAATAAATGATAAATGATCAATGATCAATAAATGTTTGTTGACTTGAATTGATTTAGAATTGAAAAACATCTGGTCTAAGACTTTTATTTTCCTTAATGGAAAAGTGATTGAAATCAAGAAAGTTTATGTATTCGAACAGTGCCTTTTCATTACATCATACTGCCTATCAAAATTTTTGACTTTCTTGAGAAGAAAAATTGGGAGTAGTATGGGAGCACAGTTTTCTTGAAGGAGATACTATGAGTAACTCAAGTCTTTCCTTTCACTCCCATTGCCTCTGACACTATGTTATAATATTCTGGGCCTTATTTTCATCAACTAACTAAGCTTTATTCCTTTGATGTCTTCCCTGTGTAACCCACTGTTTACAAAATGTGAGTCCCCTGATCCTAAGTCTTCTATTATTTACCAAGTATAGTTCAGACTTTTCTCATGCTATGTCAGATCCTTCATGCTCTGAAAAAAAATCACTCTTCCAGGTTTATCACCCACTACTTTCCTGCACATCTCCTGTACTTGAGACTAAAGTGAGCTAAACCCTGAGTATTGATTTTACATAACATGAACTCTCCTGTCTCACTTTTCTTGCATTAAACTTTCTCTTCTCATGCCAACTAGAATTATTTCCCTTAATGCTTGTTATTTTTGTGATTTCCTTATTATACTGGTAATATACTTCCCTTCATAATAATTATTTGTTCATATGCCTTAAAATTCCCCCAGCTAGATTATAAATTCATTGAAATAACAGTATCTAATCTTTATATATTTCTTCAAGACTTATCACAAAATAAATAAATATTTGAATGCTTATTGAATAATGAAAACCACCTTTACTGTAATATTATTCATTTGAAATGCTTCTATGTAAATTAAAAACAAAAAATACACACAGAGAGAATTAGCTGCTATACTACCTTAGTTATCCTGAATGCATAGGGAAGGTGTTCCAGATGAATTCATTTTCCAAGTAATTTACATTCTAACCTTTAAGTCCCAAAATTTAAAACACATATTTTTGATAGTGCTCTCTCTAAAATATATCACACACTTCCCTATCTTTGCATACAAAATATACTGGGCACTTAACTTTTTTTTGATGACAAAAGATAATCATCGTGGAGATAAATTGCTGTCCCAGTCTAAAATAGCTTCAGGGGCTATCAAGTTGTACGTGTGCAGGGCTGCTCAATCTGTTTTGCTCTTCTAAGTAATGTTTCTTCTCTCTCTTGCCTTACATATATCTCTACTCTCAAATGTTATTTCTTATTATTTTCTGTAGGATTGCTTCTCTCTATCCCCATTGCTATTTCTATTTTATGCTATTTATGCTGTTTTTCTCTCTTTCCTATTCACCTATTTCCTTTTTATTCCTTGACTCTACTTTTTTTTTCTATGTTATATGCACTTAAAATATGTAGTATAGTTAGAGCTCAACTTTGATAACCTTTGTCAGCTAACTAGAAGCTTCTTCTATTCAGGGCAATGAACCAACCAATCATATCACTTTCAGAGTAATTTTTTCTTCTTTTTATTTCCCCAGTTATTTTTATCACTTACATACCTTTATGTAAAGAGATTTGATGTGTGTGTGTTTGGTGGGGAGCAAAGGTTGTTGAATCTTCAGTATTTGAAGGTGTTATTGAGTATTAAAAATGTTAAAGAATTCACAGCTCATTAAACCATTCAATACAATTTATAATATTATTAGAATATCAACTTCCTTGGGGTTTTTTAAACTATTTGTGATATATCATAAATTTGGTAAGTAATCCTTTAAAGGAAATTCATTATAATGTCAGATCTGAAATATACCTTCATTATCCTGGACTGTGAAGTTTGGGTTGACAGCAGCTAGACTGAAGAAAAATTTCTGTCCACCTACGGGATCATCTTTATCCACCGCACTGATAGTCTGTATCAGCTGCAGAGAAAATAAAATACACATTAAAATTGCTGCTGCCATGCAGGTAACTGGAAACTTCACACTCCCCTTGAGTCTGCACCTTCCCTCACCGTAATTTATTCAGTAACACTAGATTTGTTTTCTTTTTTATATATTGGCATAGATTCAAGTTTCTAGCTGTAGGTCAATCAATCAATATTGCTTAAACTTATATTTTAATGTGATATTTTTTATATTTTAATAAGCTAGAAACATCCATTTTTGTTTACCTTAGCAGTGATTTTTGTAGTTGGAGGCAAGGACTTTAGTTATGTCATCTGTGGCTAGGATTTTATTTTACATATTTTCTTACATAGCTCTAGAAAAATAGTCCTTTAGTGAATAAACCTTAATTAAGCTTTCCTTTGAGCCAGACACTGTGTTTATTGCTAGGGATACAATGAAAGGCAAAAAAAAATAGTATTTGCCCTCAGGGAGCTCACAATCTAATGGAAAGGACAACAAGCAAGTAAGTAGGTACAAATAAACTATAAATAGGATAAATAGGAAATTAACAATGGGGGGAAAGTAATAGAATTAAGAGGGATTAGGAAAGGCTTACTGTAGAAGATAGTGCTTTAACTCAGACTTGGAGGAAGGCAGGGAAGCCAGGAGGTAAGAGAATGGGAGAGAAAGGAGGAGAGTATTCCATACATGAGGGATTGCCAGTGAAAATGTCTGGAGTCAGAGATGCTGTGTATTTTGAGAAATAACAAAGAAGCCAGTGTTACTGGATTAAAGACTACTTGGGGGTGGGGTGGTGTTGGGGAGAGGGTATAAGATGTAAGAAGACTGGAAATTTGGGGGTGTTGGGTAAGTTTGCGAAGCCCTTCAAACATCAGTTGATTTTATATTTGAGCCTGAGGTATTGGAGGCCAATGGCATTTATAGGATAGGAGGGTAACATAGTCAGACCCACACTTTAGGAAGATAACTGACAGCTGAGTGGAGGATGGATTAGAATGGTGAGAAGCTTGTGCCAAGGAGATCAACCTGCAGGCTATAGCAACAGTCCAGGTTTGAGGTGATGAGGGCCTACATAAAGATGATAGCAATGTGCTGGTGAGAAGGAGACATTCAAGAGATATTACAAAGGTAAAATTAAGAGACTTTGGAAACAGATTAGATATAGCAGAAGAGAGAGTAAAGATTCAAGGATGACACCTAGGTTGTGAGCCTGGTAACTCATTGGGTGGTAGTACTTTTAGTAATCATATGGAAGTTTCGAATAGGGGAGCTTTTTGGGGGGCGGCATTATGAGTTCAATTATGGATGTGTTGAGTTTATGATTTCTATAGGACATCTAGTTTGAGATGTCCACTAGGAAGTTAAAGATGAGGAAGTGAAGTCAGAAGAGCAGGTTAGATTAGATAAATAAACTTGAGGATCATCAACATAAAGGTGAAAATTGAATCCACGGGGGCTAAAGATATCATTAAGTGAAAACATAGAGGGAAAGTAGAAGAAGGCTCAGGACATCCATGGTTAGCAGGTTTAACCTGGATGAAGATAGAGCAAAGGAACCTGAGGATTAGACAGATAGGTGGGAGGAAAATGAGGAGAGAGCAGTGTCATGAGAGCCTAGACAGAAAATATTGTCACGGAGAGGAAGGTAATCAACAAGAGCAAAGCTGCAGAGTTCAAGAAGGGCAGAAATTGAAAAAAAGACCATTAGATTTGAGAGTTATGAGATCACTGGTAACTTTGGAGAGCAGTTTCAGTTCAATAATGAGATCAGAAGTTAGATTGTAGAGAGTTAAGAAGAGAGGAAGAGGAGAGGAAGAGGAGGTACCTTTTACAAATGGACTTCTTAATTACTTTGGCCATAAAATACAGGAGAGATATGTTTGGTGATTGTGAAAAAAAAAGACTAAGAAATTTTGAAAAGTATTTACTTTCTTATTGTAAAGGAGAGCAGAATGGTGTCTTAAGGATTGATTAGTAGATAGGGGAGATGAAAGTATATCTGCAATCTAAACAATGAAATCCTCAATCTATGCTCATTATAAAAATGTATGTTGTCCACAAGTCTCTAAACTTTATCATGGAAATTTTATTAACATGAAAGACACACATACAGAGAAACATTTATATATTCAACATAATTAAACTGAAAGGAGGAGTGGAGAAACAGAGACCATATTCAAATATTTAGACAAAATTAATTAGTGAATTTGATAAATCCCTCATTTCTATTTTTAAAAATCTTAAAAAATGAACCAGTCAGTCATTTTGTGTTAAGGCCAGTTTCTGGCATTTCACCAGAGGTTATTGTAAATTCACTAAAAGTTCAGATCATCTTCATGCTGATAAATATTCATTAATTTTAAATTTGATTCAGGTAAATGTTTAAACAAGTTGTTTGCTTTTGTAGTCAAGTGACTGAATTGATGGAAAGCCACTTGGTTAAGGCTCAGGAGAGGAGGATGAGCAGTTAAATATAGTATAAACAAGACATCATAAAAGAGGAGCAAAGAAAAAAATGTCATCAAATATGTACAATAAAAAAGATGGATTGGGTATGTAATGAAAGTCAGGTTTCCATATGCTTTCTTGGTATCCTCAAAATATCAAGAGAACTAGGAGAAGAGCCCCATTATCTTGAATAGATGCTTTGTTGTTAACTTGTGGAAGAATATGAGAGTCACACAGGATTAGGCAGGCAATGGTGAATTAAAATGATCTGCCTCAAAAGGTAATAAGTTCCTTCTCTTGAAAATCTTCAAGCTAAAGCTGTTGGCCATTTATTGATTTTGTTATATTAGGGATTCCTTATACGTATGACTTGAGCTATATGACTATTGATGTCTCTCTCAACTCTCAAATTCTGCATCTTTGGAGAGAATATCTATGTTGAGATCACATATACATTTAAATATTCCAAAATAAATTGACCAGATGGGTAAACATTATAGACATTATCTTTCAAAATTTTTACCTTCAGGGAAACATTCACAGTTAAAATAGTGCATGTGTGTATAATATGATATTTAATTTAAAACATTAACAATGCTATTTCTATTATTCTGCATTAAATATCATTCCACTCAAAATATTCACAAGAGAACATTTAGTACTTTCAAAGTACATTTATCCTTTCAAATTTTCAAATTATGTTTATCCATAGGGGCTATTCTTTAAGAAGAGATGAGAGAGGAACATCTAGGTTTTGGTAGATGATTTCTTAAAACAGATTGCATTTTATCAATCACACAATTTATTAAGAGGTATAAATAATTTCAGATCTTACTTTATCTTTTGTTTGCTGATTAAAAAAACTTTTAAAAAACCCATCCTTTTATTTAAATAATCCATACATCATTAAGCTCATCAACAAGAATATTCTCTTGTAAGTCACAAATTAAGGAGTGAAAATTGTACTTAAACATTAATTGACAAAAGCATCTGTCACTAAACAAATCCAGAGGATATCTGTGCTGTAGTATATTCAAAATTTATTCCAGAAATTATCCTTAAAGATCTCTCAAAGAAGAACAGATTCTAAAGGAATGGAAAAGTTCAAAGACATTATCAAGACCAAAATTAAGCAATAGAAAAGAAATCCAAAATTAGCATGCTTACTTTCTTATGACAATATTTCAAAGACCTGTAATGTATTTGGCTTTAATATTACCTCAGACAGCACAGGTCACAGCCTCTCTAGAATTTAGACATTTCTGGGGATAAGATATTCATTATTCTGTGGACAATTTGGTGATGAGACCCTCTGAATGTAGTTTGAATCAGGGCTTAACTTTTAACATCAAGCTGATAAGTCTACACTTAATCTTCCCAATTTGGTAGAACTTAGTATAGCTTCAGTTCTCCTTGCAAAGCCTTCAAGGACTCAGGTTTACTACAATGCTACAAAGAGCTATTGGAATAGGACTTTAGTCAAAGGTCTGCTTTCTTGCATTAAGAAAGCCTTTGAAAGAATGGTCTGCAAATGTTGGGATTTTCCTTTAAGGAAAAAAATAACAAAACGATGAGAGGAGAATAGCTAGGCTTTGGTAGATGATTCTCTATAACAGATTGCATATTCACAGTCACAAGATTGAGAGGTATAAAAAATGTGAGATCCTACTGTATCCTTTCTTTGTTGATTAAAAAACAAAAACAAATGACTGTGTGGAAAACTACTTTAAAAGCTCTCATCTAAGGTGTATAGCACTTTCATGCTGCTTCTTGATACAAAAGACTATTTTGTCAACACCAACATTTTCCTACTGATATTTTATGACTTCAAGGGAGCAGGATGATTTTCAATGAAGTTTTTAAAAGGTACATTCCTCGAAAGACAAAGAAGAAACACATCTCTCTAACAGGCTGTAAACCATTAGCAATAATTATATACAGATGGGCCAGAAAACACATAATAAAGGTATTGTATTTAGCATTCATTTCATGGGATATAACTATTAACAGTATCTGCACAAAGAGAGGCCCCATAGCATAGAGGGTAGAAGACTTGTGAAGTCAAGAGACCTAGGTTTAAATCTTTACATTCACATATACTAGCTGTGTGACTGTGAGGAAATCACTTAAATCCTCAGGTTCTCAGGCAACTATTTTTGGGCCTATAGTTTTGTTGGTTTAGGGAGCTCCCAAGAAAGAGGCCCCTTGTACTATTTCAGTTTTGCATTTTCTCTTCAGTATAGTCTTAGAGAGTTGCCTGTGGCAGTGAAAAATTAAGTGACCTATGCAGGATAACATGGATAGCATGTGTCAGAGACAAGATTTGAAGTAAAGGCTTCCTGATTCTTAGGATGGAGATCTATCTATCCATACTATGCTATCATTTTCTAGTCAAATTTCAAAGATTGTAAATTATAGACAAGTTGCTTAATCTCCATCAGTAGAGGGAGTTTATATGCCAAGATCTCCACACTGATTAAAATGAAGATTATCACTTGCTCTCCACATATACTTTGAAAAACTAATTAGAAAATCAGATTTAATTAGGTGGAAAAGCTTATTCAAACTATAAAAAGGAGCTGGTAGTAGGCAAATGGTCTTGATACAAAGGTGAGAAAAAGTGGCAAAAGTAATAATACAAAAATGAATTTTATAACTGTGAGTTATATTCAAAATAAATATAGGTATTTTAAATTTAAATGAAATACAGATAATTTAAAAGATAAGGAGAAAAACAAATATGAAGTCAAACAAATCAAGTTTACCATATAGATAGTAAAGTCCTGATCAGATAGTTAAAACCATTTGTAAAATTAAAATTCTAAATCACAATTGATGGTGCAGATGAGATCTTAGCTTTCAATAATTCAAGAAGTTCATGTGGCCCCTCAAAAGGCAGAGCTGGCTCATACTTAAAAGACAACTCAAGTCCAACTACAGTCATTTTACATGAACTTGAATACAAATCTACTTTAAAATATACCACCAAGCAGCCACCCAGCCTTGACATGAAGACCTCAAGGGAGGGGAAACCCTGAAACACCTATAAGGCTGCCCATTACACCATTGAATGTCTCCTGCCTTTTCTATACATCAAGTATAAATCAAGCTGTCTGGGCATCGAGCTACTTTTTGTTAAATTTGTATTACTAGACCTAGCAAATAGATGCTGAATAAATGTTTGCTGAATTAATCTGAAGTAAGGTTTTCCTTTGGTTCTTGTAATAATTCAAATATTCCAACAAGCAAATTAAACACCTAAATTTTGATCTCCCATCTTTGCTTTTTGGCCATTTTTTCTCTAATAATATGTCTTGGATGATGTCTTTTGGAAGTCTTCAGTGAAAAAGATGTTTCAGTCTACTTTATATCCATCGGGGTAACTCTGTGTGTGTGTGTGTGTGTGTGTGTGTGTGTGTGTGTGTGTTTCATTGCCCATTTGGTCACTTGAAATGCATGTGCTTTTGGCTGTACAGTTTTCCATGATTTGCAGCCAGATAGTATAAACTAAAGAATATTGATGTTAAAAGGACAACTGTTAACTATACAGCAGCAAGTAGGTTAGGATAATTGAAAGCACTAGTCAATTTCCTGGATGTGATTCAATCTAGTCTCTGTCTCCTATTCAATTCTGGGCCAAACTCGCTGTCCATCTGCAAGAACTATCTGAGATGTATGTACTGTTGGAACAATTCTGTTCTCATGTCAAAATCTGGATGATAACTTTTTTTCCCCCTCTACACTCCCTCTCCCATCTGAATGGTTAAGGTTGTTTCCTTTGGTTTTTAACAATGCTCATTTAAAAAAAACTATGTGGTGTCCTAAAAAATCAATGCAATCAGAGCAATGTCATCAGCAAGTAAAAGGATTCAAAGAACCTTATCTCTGCATGGATTTGTTCTATTTAGAATCTACAAAGTATGTCCTTCAGGACATGGGCAAAAACCTCAGGTGAACATTTATCTCCCTATTTTATGCCTCTATTACCACTTTTTAGTAACCACCACTATTACAGTTACTAGAAAGTAATGATCAGCTTATGAAACAGCAATATTATCCTATATGGAAATCCAATAAGTAATCAAAACTACTTAATATAAAAGTTCAAGGTAGAATTATTTTAGTTAAATTTGTATTATACTTTCATTGAAAGGCTTACAGACCAATTATGATTTCAAACCAATATGTCATTCTTAGCACAATAGGTTTCAACTGAGTAATAGCCATTGCAAATATATTAATTAAAATTCTCCATTTTAAAGCATTTGTCTTTCTTTATGAAATTGCACAAATTAACAGCATTATAAATATGTACAAATATTCTAACTTCATTATTCAATTGAAATTACTCTGTCTGTAGTTACCAATCATCTTTTAAATGGTCAAATCTTTTCTCAAGCCTCATCTTTCTTGACCTCTGAAGATTTTGACACTATTACTCATTCTCTCTTCATGGAAAACCTTTTCTCTTTAGGTTTTTCATGACACTAGTTACTACTTTTTCTCCTTCTTCCTATTTTACTGCTCCTTTTTTAGTCTCCTTTGCCAGATCTTCACCCACATTGTGCTGACTAAATGTCAACTTCTCTCAAGGATCTGTCTTGGCACCACTTCTCTTTTCCATATGTACTATCTTGCTTGATAATTTCATCAGCTCCAGCAGGTTTAATTATCATCTTTAGGTAGATTGTTCCCTGATCAATTTATCCAGCCTTCATCTTTCTTCTAAATACTAGAACACTAGTTGTGTATTGGCAAGGCCTTTTTGACATTTCATAATGTATGTTTTCAGGTATTGAAAATTCAACATATTCAAAATAGAATTCATTGTCTCTTGCCTCCACCACTCCCTACCAATTCCTTCTCTTTTTCTATCTTTCCTATTACTGCCAAGGGTACCATCATCCTGCCAGTCACCTAGACTCACAACCTAGGTGTCATCCTTTTTCTATTTCTCATTTGTGCTCACTACCATATGTTTTATTCTGTTGTAAATTCTTGTGGTTTCTACTTTTCACATCATTACTCATATTTTTCTTCTTATCTCCACTCAATAGAAGTCTTCATTGTCTCTTGCCTAGACTATTTCAACTAATTTATAATTGGTCTGTCTCCTTCAATACTCTCCTCACTTCAATCAATGTTCCATTCAACTGCCAAAGTAGTTTTCCTAAAGCAAAGTTATGACCATGTCATTGCCCTGACTACTAAATAAACTACAGTAACTCTCTATTACCTCCAGGATCAAATATCAAATGTTCTTCTAGGCATTTAAAACCTTTTTTAACCAGAAAACTTCCTACTTCATTCATTATCTTACATATTACTCTCCTATACAGTCTCTACTTGCCATTTTCTCTCACATAACACCCCATCTCCTGACTGTTAAATTGAAGCACTGATGCCTGAAATACCCACTTTCCTCATCTCTAACTCCCAGATTCCCTGGCTTCCTTTAAAAGAGTTCAGATTACGTAGTCTTCAAGAACCCTTTCCCTGTCTACCTTCCACCTCACTGCTAGTACATTCCCCCAGAGATTACCTTTGATTTACTAACTAAATAGGTAGATTACATACATATATACATAAATATATACACATATCTTTTGCAAACCTTGCAAACTACATAAAACAATACACACATATATGTATATATATATATGTGTGCATATATACATATATGTTTACACATGTAGCTTGCTGTATATAAAGTGCATGTTTACATATGTATGTAACTATGTATACATATGCCCACATGCATACATGTGTATGTGTTTATACCTAGTTATTTGCGTGTTTTCTCTTTGGAAATGATCCTTGAAGAGAAAGAACATTCATTAGTGTGTGAAGGGTTTTTTTGTTTTGTTTTGCTTTGGAATCTCAAATACTTGGCACAATACCTGACACAGAATAAGTGTTTACGAAATCCTTGTGAATGACTAACTTTTGTTTTAATAGCTTTTTGTACCTTTCAGGTAGAGCATAATCTGGTTCCTAGGGATATGTGAACAGGGTCTGTTATTGTCATTAGTGAACTAAGTGGCACCATGGACAGAGTGTCAAATTTAAGAGTTATAAAAATCTGAGTTCAAATACTACTTTAGATTTTTACTAGCTGTGTGACTCTGGGCAAGTTGCTTAACTTTTATGATGCCATTTCCTCTACTGCAAAATGGAGCTAAAATAGCACCTAGCTCACAGTGTAGTTATGAATATAAAATGAGATATTTGTAATGTGTTTTCCAAATCTTAAAGAACTTTATAAATGGTAGCTATTACTATTATTATTATCAAACTGAGATTTTCCAAGCAAATACATAAGAAATTTACTTTATAGATATATTGTGCCTATAAATCTAGGAAAATGTAAAAGACAAACAACTTAAATACAGGTTTAAATTTTTGAATCACCCTATTTGGGGATGGTCAACTGGAATAGAGTGACCATAGGCAAAGAATAAACATGTGGCTGGGTAACAACTTCAAGAGGTAAAACAGAAATATTAACAAGACTTATAGGTCATTAAAATAACCTAAGTATAGTATTCTGGATTTCAGTGCAACATTAACCAAACAAGGCGTATAAATATGCTGAGCTCCAGTTTTCCATAGCATTTGAAATGAAAAATAAAATCCAGTTGACACAAATTTACCACTTCAAAAACTGTATATGCACTGTTGAATTTGTTTGATTATTTAATGGGAAGAATTTGCGAGATACGGTAATGTAATTTGCATAAAAATGTAATAGTGACATTGATGGTTATAAAGACCATGAAATGATGTCAAAACATAATGTGGGTCTGTGATGGGTTCTCTTTCTTCAAAAAAAAAATTTGATTCCCAATTATTATTTATAACATTCTGCTTCCTTCTATGAAGATACTGCTGAAACCAATTAAGAGTATTTCATTCAGATTCATACACTCAGTCTTTTCAAACAACAAAATGAATCTACTGAAGCAAAGGTTTTAGGAGTAAATACATAAAGCTGATTCAGGGAGAGCTTTATAAAGAAATGTGTCATTAGATAATTTCATGTTGTGATAATTCTGAAATTTAATGCATGTATCTAAGGTTTGATTCCTCTTTTACTACCACATAGCCATATTTTAATTCCATTTCTATATCCTGGAATTGAATGAATCTCTTTCTATCCCTTTGGATCTGTTCCTATCCTTTAATTCTCTCTGTGTCTTCCACTGCTTTCACTTACCCTCTTCGTCTAGTGGTTTTCTATATTTATCTGAAAAAGCAGAAGGATTTTCTTTTGCTTTTCAAAGAGTTTGGAAATTGCTTTTACCTACCCACTCACTGCCTTGTGGTGGCAAGCAGCTACAACTTCTACAAGACTTTAAGAATCATTAAAAAGGAATTAAGGATCCTATCATAATCCTTACAAATCTTTTTCTCACTCTGTCTCTAGTCTTTCTGTATGTCTTTTACTCTCCTTCCACGCTCTCCCTTATTCCCCTCTGAATGTTCCCATTAATAAGGTATTATTTTTATTTTAAAAAGTTAAAAAAAAATTATTATGTTGTTAGATTTCAGAGACACTTACTTGTCCAGGTCTTGCATTCTCACATACAAAGGTATCATAGAACACAGCAAACTGTGGAGCATTGTCATTGACATCCAAAATTCTGACAAAAACTGCTACACGAGTTGTCTCTTTTGGGTTGTCTAGGAGAAGGGGAAAAAAAAAACCCTTGATTTGCTACCAACAGAAATATATAGACACTGATAGGAGTGTGTCAGCACTAGCTATAATGCAGGGGAACATCACTTGTCCAAGAATTAAGTTTTTTCCTTTATTTTTCTATCAAGTGAAAATCAGAATGCTCTAAAGTAAATAAACATTATTTCTGTTCTATTATAATACAATAAAATATAACACTAAATAGTATGTTATAATAATTAAATAGCAATGATTTCGATTATTTTGGGGCTCATATTATTCTTCTGGAAAACTGGAAAACATTTAAATAACTATGGAAAATATCTCAGCTTTTATATGGTGGGCATACATTGTTTATTAGCTTACTTAGAAGACAGCACATAAATGTGAAAACCCAAATAGAATATGTATAGTGTTTATTTTAGGCATTAGTTATCTAAACATCCTCTTATTTTAAGAATTAGTCATAGAGAGGCAACAAGATGTAGTATAGGAAATGTACTCTACAGAGTGTCCCAGAAGTCTTAGTGCAGTTTTAAGATATTAAAGTTTGAAACTACTCTAAGACTTCTGTGATACCGTGTATTTGGAAAGAAAGTACCTGGGTTTGCATGAAGGCTATGCAACTTACTAACTGTAGGACCTTGAGCAAATCACTTCAATTCTCTGAAATTCATTTGTAAAATAAGAAGACAAGGCTAGGTGATTTAGGATCATAGATCTAAAAGTAATGTTAGAGATTACCTAGTTTAATCTCCAATTTTAAAGATGAGGTTAACTGAGGTCTAGGGAGGTTTAGTGACTCACCTTTTTTAACACAGGCAATAATTGTTAGAGGCAGCATTTGAACCCAGTTCTTCTGACTTTAAAGTCAGTGTGCTTTCCACCGCGAAGAACTTTCCTTCTAAACTCATTCAGTTCTGAATCTATGACCCTCTAGATGAGGGGTGGAGAACCTGTAGCCTCGAGGCAACTCATTTGTTCTGTGAAGTTTGGATTCAGTCAAAGGGCTCCAAGTGAGGACTCAGAGGGTCACATGCGGCTTTGAGGCCACAGGTTCCCCACTGCTGCAGATGATATTCTTGATATGGTATTCTAAAACCCTACCTATAGCAGTGAAAATGTTATTTTTACTATTATAGTTGTTAATAGCTGGAATTACATTGTTCTTACCTATTACCTACTCCTCCTCTTCAAAGAAGTACAGTGATAGGGCCAGGAGCTGGGATGCCACTGGTATATAGAATTCCTAGATGAGAAACTCCCTCTTTCAATGAAGAAAGGCACCTTCTCTGAAAATTATACCCTTAGACATTTGCTGAGAGCACTGAGTAGTTAAGTACCTTGCACACAGAAGCCCTGCCAGTATGTGTCAAGGGCAGGACTCAGTGCTTACAGCCTTCAAGGTCAGCTCTTTATACATTTTGCCCTGCTATCTCTTAAAGAGGTATATTTTTACCAAAATAATAAAATCATCAAGCTTTTAAACATGCATGGTCTGATGTTATTACCCAGGACTAAATAGCTGAGTAGGTATTTGCAAGGGTAAGAGTAGGGAGAGGGGAGTGGTTTGAATTTGATTTATCAAGGAAAATTGTTCTGAGTCTAAGATCCCAAATCTTCCATTTAGTAGTTGTGTGACCTTAGACAAGTCAGTCAGCTTCACTGGATCCCAGATTCCTCCCCTTTTCAGTACTATCAAATTCTAAAACTATAATACTGTGATTTCATGATTTAATATTTCCTCTCTACCAGTTCATATTCACCATCTTTTTCAAGACCTGGCTCAAATCTCAGCTGGTCCATAGCTTTCACACTTGTGGCTCCACTATTCTAACACAAAATATTTTGGATCTTCTCTTCCTGTATGGCCTTCATCTTCACCTCTGCTCCACAGTTACCAGGACTTTAATATCCTTGAAAAGAGAGATTTAGACTGCATTTAAACTTTCCATTTTCATACAGGACTTGGAGGATATGCTCTGCACACAATAGATGCTTCTGTATTGCTCCATTTATCATCCTATACAGTTATGTGCAAAAGGCATGTGGGTGGGTCTGAAAACTATGTACAGAAGAATAAGGAGATGAGACTGTCTTTCCCTCTGCCATAGCTATGCTCAAACATCATCTTGCAATGAAGGAGTATCATGCTTAACAGAAAACTCAGATGAAGAATCTGAGAGAGACACCTGCACACACATCCCTTCTACATTCTCCGGCATCTCTTCCATAGATTCTCTTATTCTCCTCCTCCAACTCCTCCTCCTCTTCTTCCTCCTCCTCCTCCTTCTCCTTCTTTTTTTTAATATGTATAATGATAGTCACTTTCTAAAATCTTAATGTAAGGATAATTGTTCTATTGGTAGCAGGTTTACTCTTTACCACAAATAATTACAAGAGAAGCAGAGGAATTCCCCCCCCCCCGCAGCCTTCATATCTAGGAGAATAGAATATTGGACATAAAGTCAGAAAAACCTACGTTCAAATCCTACTACACTTAAGCTATGACCTTAATTTCTAACTGCCTCAGTTTCTTCAACTGTAAAATGGAGATCATAATAGCAAATAAAATAATACCTGTGTATGTAAGGTAGATTTTGTTATTCCTTTTTCAGATAATAATTCCCAGGAGCCTAGATACTAGTTTCCAGGATCCATGGCCATAACAATCTACTAGTTCCCAGGATTTCACATTGTAAACAATTGCTATTACAACTGCACAGTGAGATATAAAGATGAGATAATGTAAACATTTGAGTTATTTTGTAAACAGCAAACTGTGCTTGTGCTATGCTGATTCATCATGATATTGTTAAAGATAATGTAAACTTGTGAGGCTGTTGCTGGCAAATTGCCTGCTTTGTGTGCTCCCCTATAAATCAAGTGAGCACTGGTCAGTGAGTGGGGATTTGGGGATTGTGGCAGCTGAAAGCTGTCCATGCTTTGACCTGCCCCCATCAATGCTGTGCTTCCCTCAACTGGAGCCCATTGAGATTTAGGGGAATATGATAGGAGTTGGAGCTCCTACTTTGTGTATTCTTGCCTCCTCCCATGAGGAAGGCTGCAGGAGTTGTAGGAAGCTGTAGGAGTTGGTGCTCTCATTGTCAGCAGCCCACTTAAGAAGAATAAATTAATTATTTAACCCTTCTTTAGATCTCCATTCCCGTCCTTCTGGCTGCCCAGATCAAGAGTGAACCTGCTAGAAGATGGAGCCCGAAAGCTCCTCCACTGCCTCTCACCCAACAATTGGTATAGTCAGTGTCTCCTGTGTTACAACCTGTAAAATTGCATAGCACAGCTTCTGGTTGGTACATAGTAAGCACTGAATAAATGCTTGTTTCCCACATTCCTTCTTTGTATGAAAATGGGACTTAAAGCTGCTTCAGTTTTTTGTCATTGGAGTCTTCAAACTGTTAATTAATTCACAGAAATAGATATGCTGAAAAACATACTACGACTTAATTTACTTATTCAGAATTCAGCATCTCAGTTTCTTCATGTCGAAAATAAGAGTCTGGACTACTCTCTAAATGGTCTCTAAATCTCCCCTAGCTTCCCTATCTTCTATGTTTATTTCATACTTATATTATATCTGGTAACCAAAATACTTCAAATTTCTGTTACTTTTTACAGTTTACTCATAATATCCCTGAGAGAGGCACTTAATTTGCTCTAGCAAATAGAGTTCATTTTGTCATAATACATAATTGTAATTTTCAGCCTGACCTCACCAAATGACACTTTCAATGATGTTTCTGGAAAAGGAGTATTTGTATTATTAACTTCATTTTATTAATGAAGAAACTGAGGCTGTAGGAGTCATACAGCTAGTAAATGGCAGAGGCAGTCTGAGAGCTCAGATATTCTGCGTAAATCAGAATTCTGGTTTAAGACTTTCACTATGTTTCACTTTGTAATAGGCCCTGCTACATTTGTACAAAACAAATTGCTGCAGGGAAACAACTTGAGGCAGTGCACTGAAGCCAGGTTAACTCTTCTCGTTGTCTTCCAAGACAGAAGAAAAGTGGGGAAAAATAAGGTTTTAAACCTTTGCTTCAATGATCAATATTAACACAGGAAACATTCCTTACACTCCAGAAGAATCCTAGGGCTCTGTCTTCAGAGCTAAACAAAGAGGAAACTCAAGGTAATTATCCAAAATATATAGATGTTTAGCATTTTTTGCAATATACTGTTTCTTTCTTTTTAGGTTAGAATTCATTATAAGTATCTGGATCCAGCAAATAGATTCCCTTAAACATAGCCACCACCTTTAGAATTTACTGCAATGATGATGGTTAAATCCATCTCAGAAGTGTGTTGGGGGCTGCTAATTTGGTTCTAACAACAAATGTTAATTTGCTCCAGCTGCCAGGGTTAATTCAGTCATTATAAGTAGCCATAATTTTCAGCCTGGCCTCACCAAATGTCATTTTTAATGATATTTCTGAAAAAGGAAGTTGAAGATGGAACTCAGTCATGATATAGTGCATCAAATAGTTTACTGGGTACAAGTACTTGTCATAGACTGTAACGTAATGCTAGAGAATTTAACTTGTGGGCCTCTGGTGGGTGACATTTAGTAGTGGGGTATTTCTATATCTTCTTGACATACTCAGGGGCTTTAGAGAATGACATATTTACCATAAACCACAGAGCTTAAGGCCAAGTGAAAACAATCCCTTTGTGCTACTTCTTCCTCTCCCCCTTTCCACTTAAGGTGCAATGCCTCATAAGGCATAATAGGATTCTGATTACACATACTTTGGCAGGTATGCATTTCAAACAGTTAATTTACAGATTGATTTGACTTCAGGAAAGAAAAAGTTGAGTTCATTCGTGTGTGTGTGTGTGTGTGTGTGTGTGTGTGTGTGTGTGTGTGTGTGGAGTGTGTGTGTGAGAGAGAGAGAGAGAGAGAGAGAGAGAGAGAGAGAGAGAGACAGAGACAGAGAGAGAGATGGAGACAGACACACAGAGATGGAGAGACAGAGAGAAAGAGTGAAAGAGAGGGAGAAGAAGAAGAAGAAGAAGAAGAAGAAGAAGAAGAAGAAGAAGAAGAGAAGAAGAAGAAGAAGAAGAAGAAGAAAAGAGGAGGAGGAGGAGGAGAAAGAGGAGGAGGAGGAGAAAAAAAGAAGGAACAGGAGGAGGAAGAGGAGGAGGAGGAGGAGAGGAAGAAGGAAATTAGCATAGGGGTTTTTTTTAAAACAAAGCCCTAATTATTTCTACTAGTTTTCAAAATTAATTTTCTCAAACTCTTTGAATCTGAAAACACAGTTAAAAACTCCTTTGGAGCATTGGAAGACAGCATCAAATTTAGTGTATAAAATGACATGATTTAAGAGTGTTCAGAATGGAAGACCTGACCTAGCTTGCTCCCACTGAGAACATTCAGTTCAACTGCTACTAGTCAGCTGGAGATGGCAACAAAAACACTCTTTAAAATGAAATCGTTTTTTAATCTGATTTTAAAATGAAATCGTTTTTAAATCTGATTTTAAAATGAAATCGTTTTTTAATCTGATTTTAAAATAAATGTATTTTTACTTTTAACCACAAGAGGTTTACCCATTTAAATCTGTAGTCTCAGAGCTCAGAAGCCAGTTGGCTATGCCAATGACAGTGCTGTTGCTCCCCATTTTTGGAGAAGGAGGAACAAGAGTGGTTTAAATCAATTTTACTTGATCTAAAACTAATCTGAAGAGTAGGCACGGTGTGATAGCTAAGTCTAGGAAGAAACCCACTTTCAACTGGTGGTTAGGTGGTTGGAAAAAACTATTGTTCCTTTATCATCCTGAAAAATTTAACCTTGATTATTTTTTATTCAGTTGTGTTCTTTAAATCTTGCCTTCCTAGGGCCTGATTATTTTTATTCAGTGTAATCTAAACAGTGTAACCTACTTGGTTGGAAGAGACAGAATTTCTTCTTTAGACAGCTCTTATTAGAATGTGGAAAAAAAGATTATTGAGGAAAAAAAATCTTCATCTTAAGTTAGTACAGATTTATTCTTTTAAAATATGGTCTTTTAGGGGCAGCTAGGTGGCGCAGTGGACAGCACACCAGACCTGAAGTCAGGAGGACTTGGGTTCAAATCTAGCCTCAGACCAAACACTTGACACTTACTGGCTGTGTGACCCTGGGCAAGTCACTTAACCCCAATTACCTAAAAAAAAAAATTAAAATACCGTCTTTCATATGTCACAGATGGAAAGGTCTTCAGCTACCCACACCCTCATTTTTCAGATGATGAAAATGTGGCTCAGGATGACTGGTGATTAACTGACAAGGGCAGGATTTAAATTCAGGTCTTTCGACTCCAAATCCAGCATTTATTTTATTCCAATGTACTATACTGCTTACCTGGGATATCATTATCTAGTGAATCTTTCCGTGGAGTTCCATTTACACAAAAAAGTAATATTTATGAATTGCTATATACTTATGCATAACTCATTTAAGTAAAATACACATATTGATACATTTCTGAAAGAAATCTTTAACATAATGACCACCACCCACTCCCAATAAAGTCATATAAATAGTCTTACTGATCTCAGCTGCTATAACACTAAGATTGTGCCATTGAGATATTTCACGGTCAAGTGGCTTTGATGTATAAATCGATCCATTTCCAGAGTGTATATTAAAAATCCTGTCAAGATCAGTATGACGATCCAAGGTAAACCTGAACAGAACAGGCAAAGGAAAAACATGTAAACAACAGTTACATAGTTAACGCAGACACTACTAGAAAATACACACACACACACAATATAAGTAAGCTAGATAAATAGAAATACATGTATGTACACACATGATTTATTATCATATACTTTACATATTTAACAATAAATAAAAAACTATGTTCCTTGGTCATTTTATATTTCCTATTTTGAAATATGTTTTTAGTAATTTAACATACTTAAGTCCTTATCACCGTAGTAGAAGTTCACTTGATAAATGATATTTTAAAAAATCTTATTTGGTAAACTAGATCTTGGGAACAGATCTATAATGATCAGTATTCTTGTCCTAATTGTTCCCAAGTGTATAACAATGTAGAAAAGCATATTAATGCTTAAAAGCCTGGAGTTTGCTACTATGATATCTAGTGTTTTGACATAAATAACAACTTAGTGGCCTGAAAATGTTAATTGTTATGGATTTATTTGGCTAAGGAGAAGGATAAAATCTATATAATGCAGTGACTATGAGGGCTAGAAAGTAAAAGCATTTAAAAGCCAAGTTGTAAAAAAAAACCCTTTTAAATTGATTTAAAAATAAATAACTCTGATAAAAAAAATAAGCAAGCTGATTAAGTGAATTGATTTTCATGTCATGATAATGTAGGTCAAAAACTAGCTTATCCATGTGGGGCTATGTAAATAAGATAATTCCTATTATCCTCTGCCTCATTTAATTGGTACCATAAACCACAGAAGTATCTAAATACTTCCTGTGTTTGCAACACTGTGCTATCTAGAGATTTGCAGCTGTTGTTATTGTATTTCAAATTCTCAAAAACATCCCTATGTAATACTTAAAGCACACACACACACCATAAACTAGAAAATCAGATGTAATCTACAGTCCTTAATGTACCTTTGAGACACTTTCACCTTGCTCAAATTTTTGTTGTTGCTACCATTAAAGGAAAATACATAAAGTAAATACATAAAATCTTCCATTTGTCTGTCGGAAAGGGAAAACACTCATATGAAATATTGCACTTAGAAAAGGGTAACATATGAAAACCTTTTCTTTTTGAATATATGTTTTTGTTATAACTAGTTATGAACACCTTTTAACTTATGTGCTATTGAAGATGTTTGTATAAACTGACTTAATAGGTGGCTTAAAATCCTGCTTATTTGTCTTTTAATATCTAATTACTACATTTTGGAAAGTTGTCACAGTTAATTTTTAGTCAGTTTTAATCAATTATCCCGAATAGCTTGAAAAATCTCTCCATATATAGAGCTTTCTCTATTACTATGACTGATTGCATGCACAAATTCTATCTTCCAACCAAATTGGGATATCCTCTATTCTCTGGACCTCATTTTCTGAAAGGTTTTCTCTTTCTAGCTTCTATACCTTTGTTCCTGCTATTTCTTTATCTTGGAATGCCTACTTTTGCTATTTACCTATCAAAGTCCAGTTTTCCCTTCAAGTTTCAGATCTAATATCTCATCCTCCCCAGAATTTTCCCTAATTACATTAGACAGAGGGGATTGATGGGGTGCTTGGGTGCTTGTGTTTGGGTGCTTGTGCTTGGACCCCAATTTCTCCCTAGCCTCAGAAACACTATCCCTGACAGTTTCTCCCCAGCCCAAGGACACTGTGCCTAGCATGAGTGGGCCCCAGTAAGACCCTTATCTCTTTCCCTGGTGAAGTTCCAAACAGCACCTGAAGGAATTATTAGTTTGAACTGGCTTTGTACTGGGTCATAAAGACATTCTTACCCACTGCTATACTATACCCTACCTCATTATCTACGTCCTGGACTTCTCATTATCTGTATTCTAGACTTAAGACATATGTATACTCCCTACATCTATCTTGTCAAACAAGACATTGATTGGTGGCGACTGTACAACTCTCAGTTACCCTTAACTCTAGTTAAGTTAGTGACACAGCAGGCCTAAAACCACACCTCCATGTGGCTCCCTTTGTGGGCTTTTCCCAGTGAACTCTGGGTAAAACGCCTGTGCAGTAGGTACAAGAAGTGCATGTTCTTTTAAGAATTGACCGCTCCTTAACACTCCCTAATCCCACCCTGAATCACCTAGTTAGCATATTTGACATGTCTTATCATATTTTATACAATATAAACTTTAACTATACTGTTTTAAGATTGCAAGATCCTTAAGAATCCTTGCCCGCTGAAAAGCATAAAAATAAACTTTTTGCCACCTTGACTTAAAGAATGATTAAGTCTGTGAATTCATTCCAGACCACCCATCGTGTACTTCAGTCTTTGAGGGGTCACAACTTCTCAACCTCTTAAACCGCAACATTTATGGCGCCCAACGTGGGGCTAGTCTGAAGTCTTAAGCTTTCTTCAACTCAAGGTAAGCCTTCCCCCTCCTCTCGCCCAGTAGTTGGGTCGCCCCTCAAGCACCTAAGAAGGCTTGCTGGGGCTGGGTCGAGCCTGCAACAGGCTCTAGCGGATTTCCCTCTTGACAAGGAACGCCTTGTTGGGAACTTCTGTGGTTTTTTTCTCCCTCACCAGGATGCTGGTCAAGGCGAGTAGACTACAGGAGCCAGTCCTTTTTTTTTTTTTTTTAAGGCTTATGGGCAAAGAGGATGGGCCAATCTCCCTCTACACCTCAAGATTCGCACTTAGGTTATCTTTTACAGAACTGGAGAAAGCTCATTCTCCAAGACCTTAAGGAAATTTTTGCCTGGTCTCCATAGCCTCTGGAGAACCAAGAAAAAATTGTCTGATTTGTATAGGGGATTTCTGACAAGTCTCTCTGAGCTTTTGGATTCTCCCTGTCATTATCATGTTATCTGTTCTGTGTTTGTCTGTGTGGTTTGAGTGTGTGTAATCTGACACCCTTTGCAGCCAGGGCTGCAGCTGTACTCGGGAATGCCATTTTTTTTCTTTTTCTCTCCCCCTTTCCCTCCCTGATAACAGCAGCCTCAGAGAAGTGGGTAGATGGGAGAGAGAAAGAGAGAAAAATATTTTATTATTTAAGTCATGTGATTGGTAAAAGGCAAGCTGAGAAGGATCCTCGAAGTGTCAGGTCAGAATTAGAAAGAAATTTGATATGCGCAGCTTTAAAGGGACTTTACTCAAAGTCCATCAGAGGGATAAGTAGGTAGAGAGAAAGGCAAGAAAGTTTAAGCATGTAGGAGAGAGGTGTGTGTGTAGAAAGCTTAAGGAAGGTATAATTTATTTGCACAGTGTCCTTGGACTGGGGGGAAACTGTCAGGGACAGTGTTTCTGAGGCTAGGGAGAAGTTGGGGTCCAAGCACAAGCACCCAAGCACCCATCAGGATCACTTCCCTCCCCTGAACTTCTGAAGATTATAAATAGGTGTAGGTGTAGTTATTTGTGTACCTGTATTATTTAATCCAGTAGATAAATTCTTGAAGGCAGAAGCCAAGGGCCATGCTTTACCTATCCTGTATCCATAGCTAAATTTATTACAGTGCTTTGCTCACTTTTTGAGTGATTGGAACAAATTAAGCTTCTATACTTATATTCTCTTAAATCTTCACAATACTTCCACTTTCTTATGGAAATAACCATTGTGATTCCTATATGTACAATAATAGGCAGCATCTGTAGTTTTTTACCATTGTCTTTGCCATCAGTTAATCTGTACTTGATGCTGAATTCTTCATGACCTTCAGTTAAAGAACAATGATAAAGCATCTGAAGATGAATAATGTGATGATGTGTGTATTGTAGTGAAAGCTTTTTGTTCTAGTTAACAAAGATAATAGAATTGTGTCTGTGTGTTTTGAATCCTCTTCAATTCTTGGAAAATGTCAGCAAACTTTAAGCCACTGGATTTATTCACTTTGAAAACAGAAATTTGAACAACTTACAGCATTGATTATCACAAAGAAGTGCTGTTTCATGGAGCCATTTTAAAACATCCCTGCCATGATTGGCGCTTTAAAACAAGAATACTAGCAAAGCTCAGACTTTCTTTCAGTTTCTATGATGCTGGGTTTGATTCTTTCTGAATTTACTATCAAAACATTATCATCCAAAGAGATAAATATTATTTCTTCATAGAACAAGTTAGATGTAACAACTTCTCAGTCAGTATATGGACAAAGTGCACAATCAACATTTATGTAGTAATTTCTGTGATTAATAAGGTTAATTTTATTTCAGGGAGTCAAATGGTAAGTGTCCAATATCAATAATTGCAACAGCAGCTAATATTTATATAGTGTGTACTATGTGCCAGGTACTTTGCTAACTGATTTACAGTTATTATCTCATTTAATCATCACATCACCCTGGGAGAGAGGTGCTATTACTATCCCCATATTAACGATGAAGAAACAGAAGTAAACAAAGGTTATATAACTTTCCCAGTGTCACACAGCTAGTAACTGTCTGAGGGTGAATTTGAACTCAGGTCTTCTCAACCCTAAGCCCAGTGCTCTACCCTCTGCACCAACTAACTGCTCAAATATGATATTTAATCCTCTTTTATATGATTCATGAGAGGAAAAAAACTTCTGTCAGTTCTGTAGCCTACTTCAGACAGTTTCCTGCTTTTTTTTATATTTTCAGTATTTTAGTCAAATTAATCAACAGATATTTATTGCATTCTCCCTTTGAAAAAATCACCTCAGTAAGTACTGATTGTGACATTATCAGGAGTATTTAAAAGGGAAACAAGATTGTACTATATAGGATGATTTTTTTTAAAAAATCTGACTAAAAACATTGACTTATTATATTTAAATATGTTTTAAAATGTAACTAGTTGTGATGATTCAATGAAACACAGATTTACAAAGCAGCTAACATGGAACTATTCCAGGTACAAAGACAGAAGAAATGAAGTCATAGTCTCTGCTTTCAAACAGTATATAGGCCAATGGGAGCGAGTAGACATTTTAAAAAATACCTATAATCCCAAGAAGAATTTTGAGATTTCTCCAGGAAATATGAAAAGAGAGATAACATTTTTTGTTACTTGTAGGAGG